CTGCAGGCCATTTATTGCTGCCCTTCCATCGGAGATGATTTAATCTCCAGGGGATAACTGATCAGCAGCAATGAGAGAAGAAAAGAGCCCATTCAGATTATAAGAATTAAAGCTTCAGAAACGGGTAAGATAAGAAAAGGGAAAAGCGTGGAAAAAATATCGACCATTCTGAAGCAAACAAAAGCCTCTATAATAGATTAAACAAACAGACAATGCATCCCCAAACTATTCTTTACAGTGGTCTGACAGATAGACAGCAGACTGAAATAATTAATGGTGTCCTAGTGTAGCCGAATGAACGACCATATGCGAGCGTTGACAAAACAATCTTTTTTTTTTTTCTTGTGGCAAGTTGCAGACTGTGCAAGGCATCAACTCTGTGTCTACAGATGAAAACTGACACCTTCTACAGGCTTCTCCTGCTCTTGGGATAGGAAAGACAGATCTGCAAGGTATGGGGTTATGGGGAGGAAGGGAACAGACCGACTGACAGCCTGGGTTTGCAGCCATTGAAAAATGGCTTTTTGCAGGTCTTGGGGTTTGATGCAAGCGAGAATTCAGATGACCGAAGAAGCATTTGAGAGGAAGCTGTTGTGGGAAGCCCATGAGATGTGGCCACCTCCCTCTTACTCATTTAGCATGGGGCTGTAGCAAAGGCTGTCACCTTCAGCCATGAAAGAAAAACAAAAGAGGTTTGTTGGCCAAATGGCCACAGGCTGGAAGAACGACAGCACAGTAACCTTGGGACCAGACTTGGTTGGTGGCCTGGCAGGGATGGCACAAACCTGGCAGAGGAGGAATTGCAGCAAGGAGAGAGAGACATCAGCACAGATGCATAGGGGCAAGAATGCTTAGCCCTTCCTCCTGTTGGTGCTCTGATTTTTCACAAGCATTGAATTTACTCGTTGTATTTTCCATATTGATATCCATTAACAAGTGCACTTGAAATGGCTGAAAAAAATGTTACACAGCAAGCCAAGGAAGTCTCTTGGAGATGCTCCAGACTGGCAGAGCTGAGTTAGAATGTAAATCCAGATTGACTCTTCGTGGGCTAGGCCAGACATAAATCCACAGCAGCTCTATTAAGGGCGCTCCCAGTTCACTGACTTGGAGATTGGCTTCAGTTCTGGGGCTACTCTTGAATTCACTGAAACTGAATAGAAAACAGGTTCCGTCCCCTTGAGCTCAAAGTCTTCTGGACTTGTGCATGCTTTCTTTCTATATCATCATGTGCACAGCTCTCCCCTCCTTTGTGTTTTTATTTCAAATGCAAAAAACCCACCTATGTCAGTTTGACAGCCGAAGGCATTAAACCCACCTGCCACTCGATCACAAAAATCAGCCTGAATGCCAGACAAGACCACACAAACACCTTTAACTGCAATTAGAGGGATGGCAGGAGAAATGCTGGAGCTGTAAATATTCATCTTGCCTCCAGAGCCTCCTTTGCTAAAGGTCATTTGAGATTAGACAAACAGGCTGTAACTGACACTGAATGATCCCGTCTGCATTTTGAGGGTGTTGTAAGACACGGGTTTAATGGACCCAGACGATTACAGGTGATTCACAAGTGCAGTCACTCTCTCCGTAATGAATTCCTTTCTAACTCCCAGCCTCTTCCCTCCAGGAATCCCCCTAACACCTTTAATTTAAAAGTACCGTAATCTATTCCCCTTCTGCTGTCTCTTAAAGTTGATTTCCTCCTTGGCGCTTTGCAGCCACGACATTTTCACTGCTCTAGTTACTTCTTTTGTTTGTCTTGCTTTTGGATGAGGAGCCGCAGGCTCCTGTTCCTCCCTTCTCTCAAGGTACTCACCAGGATTGCTTCTGAATTTCCTTTCTTTTCCCAACTCACAGAGATGCAAACTGCTGCTAGAGACTGGCATATTCCCATCTATCCCAAGCATCGCTGGTGTTTATGGTCTCACCGTGCAACAGGAAAGAAAGTAATAATAATAAAAAACATGCACCAAAAATATTCAGCTATAATGAAAATCAATCCCGCTCTACTGGATATTTTAGTGCCTAATTATGGTATCCAGATTTCACAGCATTGGCTTCAATGACTGGCAAGTGGTCTCTAAATGAGCCAGCAAAGACTTGCTTTTACAGGCACCAGGTCCATGAATCTTGGTCTCATCACTGACTTCCAACCCAGTTTCCACATCACGCTCAGCAGCCCTTCCTTCTGTGCAAAGGTGTTTCCCATCCCACAGGAACTTTCAAGATGAGGAAAATGAAATGTTTTCTTTGGTCTTTCTTTTTGACAGGGTCAGGAAGATGATGACAGAGGACAGAGTCATGAATCTAGTGCGAGTGATCCCTGTTGAAATGTTTAAAGACGCCTGAGGAAGAGAAATGGATGGTCTTCAGGTCAGGGAGGACTCAGGACTAACACTGAATTTTCGCCCCTGCATTGTTAGTCTTTTCATTTAGGTCAGTCACTGCTGAGTCAAATCACAGCTCTTTTTTGGCACGGTCCACTTTTCCTTCCTCACATCTTTAATGACAGCGTACGCACAGGACTCTTGTAAAACATGAACTTTGGCTTTCCAGCCTTCCTTTCCAACACACAAGCAACACACCACAACTACAGCTCTCCATCCGTGTCCCAGCAGGGGCCCTGAGCTCTTGTTTTGCCCAGATAATCCAAGATGCCTACTTCAACTCTATACCTAATGTGGCATGTGTCTTTAGGAGATTATTTGAAGTGGTTATTTTTATGCCTAGAACCTTCAAAGGCAGAGTTATTAAGTGTATTTAAAAGGAAGAACTGGTCCAGATAAAGCTGGGATGTAATTAGTTACAAGCTACTGTACTTTGATGACAAAGCAGCATTTAGCATGTGGACTGTTCAGCAGCAGGCTCTGTAGGGTGTGCTAATTACTGATAGCAGGCACAGCGAGGGGAAGCCTGACACTTCTCTGATAAAGCAGAGCCGTCTATAACTCAACGGCTTGGGTTTAAATCTTGGTGTCTAACTCTCTGCCAAAGTCTGGACTTGTAGCACGCAGCATTTTACAACTAACTGTGCATTTGAAAGCAGAGGAAAAAAAAAAAAACAAAAAAACAAACACAAAACTTTTCAAGCAGGCAAAGGGAACCCAGATTACACCTGGGATCGTGGCTGGTAGCAGCAGCACGGTGGGGAAAAGAAATGGATTCTGTTTGCCCGAGGAACCTGCTCTCTGTCTCCCTGGAGTTCTTTCATAGTATTCACCAAACTATGCACTGCAGGGGCTAGAGAGATTCACCACTAACCTGAGACATCACAGGTGATTTGACTCGGCCTCTGACATCAGGAGGTGACTTTCAGAGACTTGAAGTGGGTTTGGCTCCGGCCCTAAGTAAGACTATGTTCCTCGACTCAAGAGAAAATAACAAATTGCAGAAAAGCAGGAGGGAAGAAAGAGCTGGGTCTGCGAGGCATAACAGGGGCTGCTGGCAGGAGGCACCAGCACACTGAGCAACACATCTCAGAGCACGGGAGGTTTTTGGGGTGGGGAAAGGATTCAAAAGCAAGCAACTGGGGTCAGCTGTAGAAGTGGTTTGATGTGGACTGCAAAAGTGATGAACAGCTGTGGGAAACAGAGCTGTCTGGAGAGGGATGAACCTGAGAGCCACAAAGCCAAAGCCGGTAACGATGCTCAAGTGTCTCAGCGCTGCTCCTCGACCTCTCACACACTGCAAAGAGCGTGGCAACCACAAAAGAAGAGTGTCTGTCACCATGTCAGCTGCCAGCTGGCCCCGACAGATGGGAAACTCAGCAGAAACAAGCCCTCACCATCCCCTGTGCCCCTGCAGCACCATGCCCATGTCACGCAGCCACCACCAGCACCCTCCCTGCTGCAGGCTCTGGCCTCACCACCACATGCAGGGCAGCCAAGCCAGAGCCCCCAGGGGAGGTGTGAGGTGGCTGGAGAGGGGAGAGCCTCCAAAGCCCTCCCATTTACAAAAAGACTGTACAAACATGATGGAACAGACCCACCACTTACCTTAATAAACACAGGCTTGTATTAAACGGGAGGACAGCTATGCCAGGTAGAAACAGGGGTGTTTTAATGAACCAAGAACTAAAAATCACCTCAACTCCACTACAAGTAAAAAATTAAACCACCTCTGTCAGGATTGATGGGATTGCAGTGAGTTCCCAGAGAGGGCAAATGGCATCCCGAGCTCAGATCTCTGCTCTCCAGGCTAATGATCACGGGGCAATAAAATGAAATGGTATTTCTATTCTGATGCTGGGGAGATTTTTTTCCATTTATCAAAGTGATGCGCTTTCATTACATTTTTGATAGTTTTGAGTTTGTTTGCTCCCCCTGGGAGGACCTGAGGGTCTAAGACATATCTTATTACTCATAAGCTTTATATCTTGGGAGTGTACCTTCCTCCTGTATTTCTCAGTTGCTTTCCCTTTTAAATCCAACCTCCAACACCAGCAGGCAGTGTCTGGACAGAATGGCTTGCTAACATTGACAACCAAACCTTTAATCCAAGAGACATTTACGTTCCAAACCATAAGAGGAAAGAATGCAAGATAGTACAAGGAGACCAGTGTCACTGTGCTGGTTCAGACTAAGCCAGGAGCCGTCTCTCCAGGGGTTAGAGGAACACTTTTTGTGCCCTTTCTGTGTTACATCCAGTTCAGATCACACCTTTGCAACACAGAGGGTAACACCATTCACATATACTCGCTTTACCATTGGGGCAGAAGCACAGGAGCAGTGAGCAGAGTGCATTTGGGCTAAAATGAACACTTTCTTCCTGGACAACAGAATATGGAATTTCACCTGAGGCTCACCTCTGGTATAAGCACTTGTGTGCACCAAAGCCCGATACGTTTCTGTGTTGCTCACTCCATTGCACATTTCTAGGGAGGTAAGTTGTCCATAATGTCTTTTTGAATTCCTTAAATCTAATTGCCTTCTTCCAGACTCCTGTTCCCAAAGAATGTGTATTGTTGCTATCATTGATGAATGTACAATTAACTCACTGACCTGAGGCTGTGACAATAGATCTTTCTTGACACCAGGAGCCCATCAGACACAGCAGCCAGTCATTTCTCTTGCCGTACCAGTGACATGCTACCAGAACAACTGGTCTCAGCAGCGCAGGCTAAGAGGAAAGGAAAATGGAAACCATTTCCATATTTATTGACAAATTGAATTTACAATCTGAGTTTCTACTTTGGAGAGAATATATATTTTCTCTTTAAATGTATCAGTCTTTAGCAGTCAGCCCAGTAATAATGATTTCTATGCCTGCAGACACTTTTACACTGGGGACAGTGAATTTAAATGTAACACTTTTGAAAGAAAATGGTATTAAAATTCACCATTTAGGGGTAAGCTGTAAATTAACTGTAACTGAGCAGACAGGGGGCAAAAGCAAGCTTTCTGTGTGGGTGTATGTTTTTTTCTTTCAGTGTTTGGCTAAATACCTGCTCAGTTGAGTCCTGTATCCCCACTTAAAGTCTAACAAGCCTTTGACTCGCTCACTCTTGGGTTGAATTAGGTAAAAAATAGAGAAGAATATTTTGGCAGGTTTCACCTGAAAATATTAAAAGCACTTAGCAAATAACAATTAATTCCAAGCCAGAAACCCCCTAGTGAAAGTGGGGAGAATGAATTCCTTCTGCCTCACAGCTGGCCCAGGGTTGGAGCCCAGGGGTAATTACCAGTGATGGAAGGTACTGCGGGAACAAAAACCTTAGAGCAAGAAGCAGCCTCTGAAAATACAATCCCTCCAGACAAATCCTTCTGAAAGTTTAGGGAGTCAGAACCCCAAACCTTTATCTGCTTTCTTCATCAAAGCATGCCTGTGCTTTTCATGCACGATCTCCACTTTAGAGCATCTCTCCAGCACAAAAAGCCCCACGTGTGACTCTGAACAAATGAGTCAAAGCCCGGTGTGCTTCTCATCGGAGCGTTCCGGTGGAAATACCAGCACCAAAAGCTCCACATCCCGTTGTGATATGCACACAGTTTCACAGCATAACATCACATCCTCACCAAGCACCCTGGCCAACCCTCGCATGGCTCCTGCGTGCCCGGTCACAACAGCGAGCGGACTGTCATTTCCAATAAGCAGCTTCACATGATGCGTAGCCAGGGCTTCTCTTAACACTGCAAGTCAGAAATTCTCGTGAATGACCTTGTGAACACAACACCGTGCGCTGTAAGCGACTCCACGACAACAAAACTACAGGAATGCAAGTCTGTGATTAGGATGTGGCAGGCTGGGGAGAACCAAGAAGCTTCTAGAAAAGTTCTGATTCTGCTTTCCCTCTTAAAACAGTGCTATGAATCTCGTGATATGATGCGTTTTCAGAGAGCCTTTCCTCTCCACCTCCTTTTGGACTCCTGCAGGAGAAAGGCTCTCTTACCCCTGCATTTACATAGGAAATATGGAAACAGAACCCTCAGGGCTGGGGGAGGCGAAAAGGATCGCTTTTGTTCATTTTAAATGTCTTGATGGATGCTGGGTTCATAATTGCAGGACTGGTCTGTTTTGTTTTTGTTTTGTTAATAGTTGGATTTGTGATGATAACAAGGACACAGAATAAATGAGGTTTGTTTTTTTTCTAATATCATAGATGGATCTTCAGCTGTATAAACTGGCACAATTCCTCTGAAGTCATCAGAGCCAAATTACGCTTACTCAGGGTCTGGCTCTATGACAAAAATATCTTTTTAATTTCCAACTTAGTTCAGGAAGAGCCTTAAAAATGCCCCTTTCTAACCATATGCTGCAGTCCCAGCAGAACATTTACAGCTTTGCTTGCAGCCCTGGCTAATAGCCACCGCATTTCTAGAAGATGAGTAGCGTGCTTCTGGATGAAACAATAACTGGAAGAGCTGGGGCTAACAGGGCAACCCAGAGCAGGTCTGTTTTCTAGAAGCATCGCCCACTGCAGCCTTCCTGACGTGTAAGAGGACTGTGGAGGACTGTAACTTTGCTAAGCTGGCGCTGAAGACGCTCGGGACAAGCACTCGTTAACGGAGCCGCAGTTTTCTTTGCTGGCAAGGCGAGTCCTGCGGCGGCTCAGCCTGGCAGAGCCCTGCCTGCTGCTGGTGCCAGGTAACTTGCTTCAACCCTCCATTAGCTCTGCTTCCGACTCAGCTGTCACTGCCAGGAGGTTGGGCAGGGGGCCAGCAACCCCCCAGGTTTAAAACAGGGAGCAAGTTTTCCTGCCTTTACCATCAAACTGGTCAGGATGTGCTCGCCTCCAGGCTTTGTGCTCTGATGCAGCTGGGGGACCTGCCCCCACGGCCAGCCTGTTATTTCCTTTAACTGAGAGAAAAATGCATCATGTGTATTTTAGCAAGAAAACAATTATCAGGTAACCCTAGAACCCACTATTTGTTTTGTATCAGTATTCATTTACTTGTCTCTGATGACTAGCCAGGCAGCAAATATAAGAGGGAAACCTTAAACCTACCAGGAGATTAATGACAGACTGCTGGAACAGATGTATATGAATAGCAAATGAGGCCACTGAAAGCCTCCTATAAAAGTAATGACGAGAGGCTTTGCTGCAGCAGAGCATACCAGCAGAGACAGCAGGGCTGCGAGCTACATGGCTGAGCCCTTCTCCATGTGGTGGGCACTGCTCTGCTCTACCTGGGGCAACGAGGTTTAACGACGTGATGGGTTCCAAAATCTGGTGAAATGGCCACAGCAAACTGTTGTTTGGGGAGTGGGAGAGGAGAATGCACAGAATGGGAAGCCACTTTGTGCTCTTACCCTCATCAACAACCTGCTCTCCTTCGGAGCAGAGCTCGCACGGAGCAGCCCACACATCCCAGCTGGGTTCAGCCTCGCCCTCTCCTGAGCTGAGAAACGTTGGCTCTCCGCTGCACTGATGTCTTTTAGTGGAGAAAGTGTTTTTCTCTACAGTTGATACATCCTGATAAAAATTCATTTTTGATCTTTTTCTCTTATGTGAAAAATCCCCAAGCGAAGCACACTGACACACGTCTCTCTGTAAATGAGACGTTTCTTCTCTCCTCACCCATCTCAGCCCCCTTAAAATTATTTGGTAATTTTATCTCTCCTCAGAGGCTCTAGCACTGGGAGCAAGCTGTGCTCTAGTAAGAGGAAGGAGACCACACCACACTCTTTGCTTCACGTGAGATGGACGGGGACAAATCCCATAAATAAACAGAAGGAGAGAGCACACGAGGTGGGCAGAGGTGCAAGCAGCTTCCAGAATGGGCTCAGGCTACAACAGCTAGAGATAATCCGGTGTGTAAAAAGGCGACTTTAAGTGTATTTCAGTGCACTCGTGGGAAATGCGCTGTGGGTAATCACACTGTCTAGAGGAGATGAAATTGGTAGGAGCAGGCATTTCCAAATCTGTGCCTCTTTGGCTCATTGCTAAAGGCATTGACTGCACGAAACCCACTGGATGAATTTTAACAGCCTCCCCACATCCACACGCATGCTACGTCCATCTCTGAGCACTGCCTATGGAAAGTACAAACCCTCCTGGGTGATGGACTAGCCACTACACTGTACCTTGGTCTAGACAAGTTAATTTTTCCCCTCAGAGAACAGAGTTTAGCGAGATGTGAACCAAAATGGCCGGAAGGACTCAGCAAAGCTGTTGCCGCCTGGTAGACTATCACACCTAAATGACTTGATCTCTACAAAAGCAGCAAATCAAAGCACAAAATACCAGAAACAGCTTTCTGAGAGCCCTCTCTCAAGTCATCTTCTGCTGCAAAAATGTCTCCAAAGGGATGAGCTCCCTTTTCTTCTGCAGTGTTGCCTATAAGGTACATGTAGGCACTCTCCTTTCCTACCACCCCAATTTCCTCTGCTCACAGACATTCACAACCTCAAAAAGCCCTCGCACAGCCTCTGAGCATGGCTTTATACTCAAACTCAGAGCCCCTGCACGTGCATTTATACCTGCACAGGCTGAACCGAGAGGCTCAGAGGCACAGACACACACTCACCCTGTACCTCCCTGGTGGCAGTGTGAACTGATGGCACACGCCAGGCGTCCCCCGGTGGCACTGCCACCTCCCAGCAGCAGCAGCGAGGGCGCTGGGCAGCCTGCTGTACCAGCAAGGGTTTATTTTCTTCACCCTCTCAAACGGAGCCTTCAGAAACTGTGAGTGTTGACAGCCTGGAAAGCTGGTGAACATGGGAAGAAAAGAAAGCGCGTGAGTAGTCGCTTCATCTTGCAACATGACATGAGAGGCTTTATTTGCAGGCACAGTGATTTCAGCCCCATGTGTCCCACACACTCAAAATGCTACAGCATCAATATGCTGTCTCACAGCCTGAGCATCTCCGCAGCAAAGGCAGAGGAACAGGACAGATGTTTGTACGGCTTTCCTTTCCCACTGTGCTTAATTCACACATTAAGGGAGCGGATGAAGGAGGCTTACGTCTCCCTTCGTGTGCTGGAAATGAAAGAAAGAAAGAGACTTGTCAGTCTGGCAACGGAGCTCGTAGAGAGATGAGCTGTCAAGGCAGGGAAAATGTCACCAGGTGCCAGGCTGCCTTTACCGAGCCGTGGCATGGGGACAAGGGGAAGCTGCTCCCCGATCCGCTGCTGTGAGTCTGGAGCGACTCTTGTGAAACAGCAGCAGCACGGGGCACGGCCAGTGCACATCCCCATCACCTGCAGAGCAGTTAAGAGAAGTTTTCACCCTTAACCCCCAGATTAGGAACTGAGGAAAGCCTACGGGCACCTCTTCTTTTGCTACGAAAGCAACCTTCTCAGTCCCAGCAGATGAAAACAAGGGCGTACAGCCATCTCCCTCCTCCACCGCTCATCTCAGTTATCCACAACCCACAAAAATCAGCAGTCTTTGCTGCAAATCTAACAAGAAGTGTTAAAGCCAGCCTGGCATCACCTCGGTTCAACCTCACGCGTCTCCACTAGCCCCCCGAAGCGGCGAGCACCCAGCAGGGGCTGACAGCGTTGTGCTGGAGGAGCTGAAAGTGGAGCTGGGACGAGAGGAGCCGCAGGGGAAGGCAGAGCGGGCAGCACCAGTGCCTTCAGCCAGCTCCAGGTGAGCACCACTGCAGCTGCCCCATCACCTCCTGCGCCCACTCCCCACATCCTTGCTCCAGCTCCAGCCCACAGCCCCCTGAGGTGCACACACCTGAGTTTTGCTGGGCCTGCTCCGCCAGGCGTATGTTCTCGAGCACCATCTGCTGGCTTTTTCTTTTTTTTTTCCCTATTAACAAGCAGATGATAGATGTAAGCCAGCCTCGCACCAGGCAGCCCACTCTGAGGAGGGAGGAACGCGAACGGGTGCCCACCTGCGCCACAAGCACGCAGGTATTTTCCCGTGAAAAACACGGGGTTTTGTTAAATGAGATGTTTTGCACGGGCAAATGGCACTGCTCGGCTGTGGTTTTCAGTGGGGGATACTCCAAAGTGAAAAGAAAATGTTAATTCTGAATTATATTTTACTTTGCTGCTGCTTGGGAAGTATGAAATGAAATATTTTGATTATCTGGAAAAGCAATAAAGGCAGAGGATTTGTTTTTTTTTTTTCTTTCTTTTTGGCAGAAATGGTTTGCTGAATCTGACCCAAATTCACAAACAGCTCTGCCTCCTCCCACTCAGAACCAGCATCTCTCTGTGAGTAAACTCTTTGTTACACCAATTGCCCAGGTCTGCTGTGACGCTGCACAAACACATGTTCCAAGCGAGAGTTCAGCCTGCCGGCTCTTGCTAGGCAAAACAAAGGTTTTCATCTGGGATTAATTCTCTTGGAGCTTTAGAGAGGAGGAAGGAAACGTTTTTAGTCATTGCTTGTTAGGCATCGGAGGGCTGGTTTCAGCTGAGCGTGTAAGGTTTGCGCTTGTTCTCCTTCCCTGAGGATTACTGACAGTGGCTTAGCCGATGCTTCATACAAAAACCCATCCTTTCCCCTCAGTCCTTCTTAGCGGATGAATCGGAACAGAAATCCAGAATACAGATGTTGAATCTGAAGAGAAAGCTCAATTTACATTTCAGCACATCTCCTGAGTGCCACCCCAGGTGAGGGTGTGCAGTACCACGAGTTCCAGCTGGGAGACTTGCAGTGAGACCGGGGGTAAAGCTGCAGCTCTCCGGATATTTTGGCACCGAAACAAATCACCGAGATACAACCTGGGCGTTCAGAACCATGCAGGTAACAAAGTCTCCACGCTTCTCACTTGGGCAATACGAATCCTTTTTTCTTCAAGTGCACCCGTATTTTAGTTAGCTTTTGTTTTCTTCACCTCCACATAAGGAGGTTCTGAATTTTCCATGACAGGTTTTTAAGAATGGGTTAGACAAGGAAGGATCCGAAGTGACTCGTGAGCTCTCTGCAGATTTCCATTAACTCCAGTTCCAATTCTGAAGCTCCACTACTCCACACACTGCTCTTTCTACCCAGTCAGAGGAACTAGAATAGCAACGCTTTCACGTGCTCAGATGTCAGTGACCACAGGAGATACTGCCGAGTACAAAATCAGGTCAGGTGCCGGGACTGTGGATAAAAAGAAGGTCTCTCTACAGGAGGAAGCTTCCAAAGAAAACCTAATGTGCAGTCACTACGGGGACCGGTTATTCTGTTCATGGTACCCATTCCTTCTTCCCTTGCCTTTAATCTGAGGTGTAACTGAGACCTTCACATACCGCAGGAGACTTCACCTACAATAGGGATGAATAAGGTGGAAGAAAAATGGTGGACGGACCTAGACAGATGGATTCTACATTGGCATTAAAGGCCACTCCTCATTTGTCATCCAACCCTACCTATAAAGTACTTCTGACAAAATTCATTAAATGCGAGTTGTTCCTGTGTTACCCCACGACAGTAAATTTTCCTTTGCAACAAGCCTGCAGATAGCGATCAGTAACCTCTCTGCTAAATTTCTCCTTCACAGGGCTCCTTTCTAGAATGAATAAAGAAGAGCTAGCAGGAACAGGAGAAAAATGGGTTGATATATTTTGCCATTAAACTAGAGCTAGGCTTCAGGTTATCATAAAAGATGCTACCCTGCGAAAAGTACATCTCACTGCCACGCATTTATGGCCCTGCTGATGATGTGTATCAAATCCACCAGGTTTAAAAGTCAAAACAAGATTACCCCATCCTAATAAATATTGATCACTTTACAAGCCCCAGTTGTAAGGTCCTTAATTAAACACAATGCCCAACTTTGTCTGCTTCCGAGTAGATGAGAATCGATACTTTATCATTAATGCTGTCCAGCAAAAAAAGAGAAGAGCCCCATCCTCAGCTGCTGTAAATTGACCACACGGGGCTGTCACACTTATCTACATTACAGAGGGTCTAATGAGCCCAGGCGAGGTCAGGACCTCCCTGTGCTGGGCATGGAGCTGATGCATGGTGCCACAAAGCTCAGCCTGCTCCCTCCAGAGGTGGAGGAAAACACCAAGGGCTGTTCAAGAAGCCAGTGGCAGAGCCAGGCCTTCCGAGGCCAGCACAGGGTGTCCACCAGCACGCAGAGCAGCCCTCCTGGTTCGTCCACGAGAGCTGGTTTGGTCATCTTCTAGGGAGAGAGGGAGAAAGGAGGGCAGGGGAAGACTTCCAAAACTCCATCCCTGCCCTTGAGAGGACAGGCTGGTGAAGCTACATCCTCCCCTGTCATCCCTCCTCAGCCTTCTGGCTGCGCCAAGGGAACCTCAGCGCCTCGGCACTATTTGACAGCAGATATTACAGGTGTTGTCATGGCAATGATTTATGCAAGAATTAGTCACTGCAGCACTTCCACAATAGACTGGAGAACAATAGGAAAAAATGCACATTTCAAAGTTCCTGTGATACAGAGGTTGAGGGTTGGGGAGAACAGATTAGATTCCTTTCACCCCTCTGATTCCAGCAGTGACATTTAAACAGCTGAGGGAGAAGTCAGTGCCTAATCAGAAGACGTTAATAGCAATGTGACAATAAACCAGACTTCACATTAAACTGTGCTAGCAGTTGCATATTTACTACTGGCCCATTTCTGAATTAATTGGAGACTGAGTAACAACTGGAGCAGAGAGGAGATTACTACATTTGCATTGTTATATAACAAGGGGAGAATCAGTTTATTGACAACAGGGTGGTTTATCCCACGTTCCCCACTGCTGACAAAAGTTGTGGGGATTGTTACGAGCCTGTGGATGTGAGCTAGGTTAAGCTTTAGCAAAAGAAAAAAGAACATTTTCGCCCCAAACTCTAAGAACTAAAAGGTTCGAGAAAAATGAGCACTTACTTTAAAAACTCCCAGTGCTCAAACTGAACCATGAGAATTTTCTCACTTTATTACTTACAGAATATGATTGTTAATTGCAGGATCACATATTTTCTTCAGATATATAAGCTCTGGCAGAGGTATGAGGAAATTCAAACAGGGCTGTCACTCAGCTTAATAACAAATAGAGCTTCTGCTGCTCAGTGTAATAAAGGGAGTTGTTCCTCTCTCACATGTGTTGATACCTCTCCATCCCCACCAAGGCTCTCTGAATTACAGGGCAATTATCCTCAATGTTCTTGTCTCTTCTGAATCAGCTCCAAGATTTACAACTGTCAGGGTCAGACTAGAAGCAAGCTTGAGGAAAAAATGAAAATGTTGTTTAGAAGCATGCTTGAAAATCTGCATCTTGGAGTCTTTCCATCCTGTTCTTGAGGAGCTAAGGTTGTCTCATCCTCTTAATACTCTCACGCTCACTTAATATTAAACAACCACTTTAGCCACAAGGAAGAGGAAAGCCCCGAGGTCCAGCTCTGCCATTTTCCAGCCCAAGTCACGAATGTTTCTACAAATCACAGTCACTTCACAAGGCCACACAGTACAATTACTTCCGAGCTTTTCCTTCTTCATTTCATGTGCTGGCTGGCAGTAAATCTTTACTAACTTCTTAATAGTTTTTAACATATGCATTGTCACATGGATTTACCATCAAACTCAGCAGTTAAGCCTAGTGAAGGCATCAGAGGCACAGAATGTATCTGTTCAAATTATATTAGTTTGTGTGGACGTCTTTAGAGGATAACAGATCCATACTGCCTGCTAGCGCTTCCGTAAAAGGTATTTCTCTCTTGTTGCTTTTAACTCATTTCCCTCGGATCTCTCTGAAATGAGAGAGGAATGGTTGGTATGAGGAAGCAGGTGGGGAGTGACCAGGCTTTGCCAATTTAAACCTTGGAGCATGGGAAAATGCTGTTCTTATTCTCCTTTATTCTTCAAGCCTCCTGTACCATTTCACAATTACTAGAGTGCTTCTTGGCCTCCCACTTTAACTCCTGACAAGAGAGAAAACACAAAGATAGCAGTGCAGCTGCTAGGACTTAAGGGATCTTAATGTTCCACTGTAAATATGACAAGCATTGAAGCTGGGAGGGAATGGCTCTTTTTTGGAAAGTCCCCAGCTCCAGGCATTTCACTATCATGAAATCACAAGAAGGAAAAAAAAAAACAAAAAACGGGGGGGGACTTTGGAAGAAATGTTTTGATACGTGGCACAAGGATATGTAAGCTTGGCAGAATTCAAACCAGCACTGAACATCCTGGGATTCTCACAGGCTTCTCAGATATGGCCACTTAATTCACCATTCCCACCTAACACATCTCTTCCAGTAGCACACAAACATTTGAGCTGTGCTGAGCACTGCGGTGCTGGAGCTGTACAATAATCAAAAGTCAGAACCATGTACAGCACAAAGGCATTCACATCAGAGCTGGATGGAGAATGACTATTGCATTTCGCAGAGAAAATGTTTTCGCTTCTGTGTGAAATGGAGCAGGCGCTCCCGTCCCGAGGAGCACCATATGGGACACGGGAGCAGGGAGCCAGAACTCCTGCGCTTCCAGGCTTTTAGCAAGTTGAGCTGCTGGGCAAGCGCTCCAGCTCTACAGCAGACCTAGGTAGGCTAAAAGTGCCAAGCAGGCTGCATTCAATGGCTGCCTTGATTCCTCCAGAATCAAAATCAAACTGTTTCTGCAAACAAATTTGACAAATTGGCAGATTCTGAGGGAAAACAGAACAGCATCACTTTGTAGGAAAGTTTCTGCTGAGCTCTATTCACAGCCTAGAATCCAGCTCCCATAATGAAATGAACACATCAGCACCACTTAAACTCCAAAGTTAAATTAGCAATCAAAAACACTGCAAAAATAGCAGGCCAGATTTTATCCAGTGGAAGGTATAATTCTACTGATGTCAAAAACGCTATGACAGTTTGTGCCAGCTGAGATCTCACTCCCCACATTTTGCATTTTTTATGCGTGTTGTTTATTTTGCCTCTCTGTCCCCAGCTCTCCTGCCAGCACCTGATGGTGAGCAGCGAGGACGGGGTAGGCTGAACTGCCAGGGTGACCCACGGCAAACCCTCCTGGAGCACAAGCCCTGCAGCTAAATGCTGAGACTGGATGCTCCCAGGTTTTCCCTCTACCTGTTTGACATCTTCTATTTGCTCTGGCTGGATTTTAATTTGTGAAGGAGTTACTTATAAAATGCTTTGCTTACCCGTAGCTGTCGTGCCTGCAGTCACCCACAGCGCAGCCACAGTTGGCATGATCCAGACACATCAAAACCTCCTCAGCATGCCTCATTTCCAGCGAGATAGTTAATGCACGACAAACTCATGCTTGCACTCTAATTTATTAGGGTTCATTAAGAAATAAATTATTGCGGTTTAACTAGTTACCACCCATGAGGTGAGCCAGAATAACTGTCCACACAAGTACTTTACCTATATGCAAGATAAATTGAAGCATTTTACGCCTTACTTAAAATGCTGAAATGGCCATCATCAGCACTGCAAAGAGCATGTCCACAGCCAGCAGCAGGAATTTAACTTCTGGCATTGGTTTAACTAGTCTAACTTCGTTTAAAATACACTTCTAAGCCTCAGGAAGAGGTTGGGTGAAATCTTATGCTTATGATTCATGAGACCCAGAGTCATAGAATCATAAAATCATTAAGGTTAGAAAGGACCTCTAAGATCATCTGGTCCAACCATCCCCTTGTAATCTGCTACCAAAGTATTTCTCATTATGCTCGATTAATGGCTTTGCTCTTCCTCCTTTCTCCTGCTTGATTACTCAACAAAACCACTAATTTACCAAGGTGGATGTGTACAGACTGGATGCTCAAAGACCTGTGTCAAGGTAGTCATAGCTTTTGGACTGCCACACAGCTCTGCTCATAGAAATACCTTGGCAGGGAGAATGAAGGATGAGCATCCAAGAAGAAAAGAGTTCCTCAAATATTTGCCGAGCTCTGAGGAACATAAGTACTCTAGAATTAAAACACAGGCTGGAGTTGTGGATGTTTGACTGCTTTTCTATTAACCCTGCTCTGAATTATCTCAACACCCCCTCCCACTTTCTCTGTCCATGGAAAGCATTCTCCTCTTAAACCTACACCCTGAAAAACACCCTCCCATTGCCCTCCACACACACTGACACAAAACAACGATCAGTTGGTCAGATCAAACCCTGCAGACCAAACCCTGACCTTCACAAAGCTAGACCAGGCTGAGGTGCTGGCTCTGCCATCCCAAGCACACCAACTGCTGCAAGGCAGGGGCACAAATGCCATCTGACACACACAGCTGCGTTCAGCTGCAGAAGGGAAGAACTTCAGCCCCAGCCTCTTCTGTAGCTGTCTCTTCCCTAGCGATGACCACTGCAACCAGCTGTGTAGACATTTGTTCTTCTACGCAAAGGACAAGCAGCCAAGCAGTAGGGGTGCAGCCATTGGAAAGAAGAAGAAAGGCAGGCTTGGCCGAAAAGTCAGCTGGCTGGCAGGGTTTTATCTTGTGCCTGGAAACCTGCAGTCCTGGACATGCCTGAGCACACAAATGAAGCCACAGCTGCAAGCAGCACAGTTGGGAGGGAAGATCTGACATGCACAAATAGGGAACTTTTTTTTTTTTTTTGCCTGGGCAGCTTTGAGAGAAGGCTTATGGCAACATCTCAATGTGATAATTGTGATGAGAGAGGCAAAAAGAAAGTAGTGAGGAAATGTGATAAACTTCAATCCCTTATGGATAGACCATGCTGCTTCTGTCCCCCTCATTCTCTCACTCCAACACACTCATGTCAGCATTAAGGGACAAAACAACAGCGTTCAGAAGTGGCAGGCAGAAGAGGGCCCTCACAAGCAGCAATTTCCTGAAAAAAAGCATCGTGTCTCTGCACCATTGATTAATCAGAGAGCCAAAGGCAGAACAGACAAATGTCAAAGGCCAAAGATGGCAAAAGTTTCTCTCCGGAGCTCACAGAGCTGCAGCTGTGGGTCGAGATGTCAGGCAGCAGTACCAGCACGCTCATGTACCCTGCTCGCAGCCGGGTTGATTCAGCACAGCCCCACACTAACACAGCTACATGGCAGCTGCCTTCGAGCAGGTTGATAGCATCCAGCTCAGCACACAGGAGGGTTCGTGCCAGCGTGACACCGAGGGGTCGCTCTCCTCCCTTTTCTCCTCCGGGGGAAAATATTTACCTTTCCTCCTCCAAGAAATCTGTCTGATGGAATGCACATAGGGGATTCAGAATTACACAAGCAATAAAGAGATAATTATAATCGTACTAATATCTTCAACTGGTCTGGAGCATTTTGGCAACACATGCTGGCGTAAACCCAGAAAGCTATAGCAGCCAGGTGATTAGGGACAGGTAACAGCTAAAAATAGTGAGATTAATTAATAATTGATGGTGTAGGCAGAGCACTGCAGAAAATATAATTAATGCTGAACAAACTTGATGTAACTCTGTCTTGTTAAAGGCTAATAAAATATTTCAGTGCTCTTCAGGAGCTGTGCTTTAAAAACCTCACGGGACTGGACCATCCACTAAGGTAAATCTGCACAGCTCCAGCAGCTTCAGCAGGGAGATGCTGATGTGCCACTGCAGGGAGCCTTGCTGTTATATCCCCTGACCACAGCCCACGTGTAAGCCTGCACCACTCATTGTACATGTATTTTGTTCTCAAAGTGTGGTTTCATCCAGCTAGCTCATAATGTTTGCAAAAGACGGTAACACACTGCTGAAATGCACGCAGAGTTATGAAACTTCTTATCAACTGGAGTTGCAGGCAAATGAGTCAAGCTGCCCCAAAACAGCCATCATAACAAGCTGTACAATCGGGAGCCCTGAATCCCAGATGAGTAAGTAGCAACTCGCTGACTAATTGCTGGATACTGAATAGGCAGAACCAGCGCTCACAGCTGCCTGTGGCATAATTTCCAAAGCTCACAAGAACTGACGGGCAGAAAAATACTCCATTTGTCCCTGAACTTTTCAAATGCCAGGGATCTTCTTTCCCCCATAATACTCACAGGGTTAGTAATGCTAATATCCCCAGCTGCAACAAATAACATCAGAACAGCAGTAAAATCTGAGTCCCACAGATCAGTATCATCCTATTTAGATCTAAGAGGCTGGGATGTTCTCCCCAGATCACAGGACAGAACAGAAAGCACCGTCTATGGCCAGCACCCAATATGAAGCATTTATTAAGATACTAGACTAGCATAAACATCCAGGAGGTGCCATGGTCAGGAACCTATCTGTGAAGGGTTCACGTTTACATCTCCTACGTAGGTGCAATGCATCAAGCTAATTAATCTCCCGAGCTGTCTCAGCGATTCCTATCAGCCCCTCAGGCTAGCACCACAGTCCAGCAGGCCACCAGCAAAGCTGCGATCTGATTTATGTTCTGACAGAAAAATTAGAGAGGGTGCTTGTGAAGCAACGCTTTCAAAGCAGAATGATGCATCTGCCATCGGCTTGTGCGCAGTAAATCCCCCAGGGCCCACAGGAATGTCTCCAGAGGAGGTGTCACCTCTACAGGAGGTGTCCCTTACAGGAGCTGCAGTGGAAGGCAGGCCGCCAGCAGCACCACGAGCTCCCCTCGGTGTGAACCTCAAGGAGCCAGATAACGCTTTTAGCAGCCATCAGAAAACAGAACTAAGCAAGCCCAACACAAGTCCAGCCTAGCTGTGAAGTCTGTCCCCACAGACCCCTCCAGGAGCCCAGGGCCACCACCGGTGGCCAGCAGCCTCGCCATGCGGCCTACTGCCTCTGGAGCACGGCCCAGCCCCGCTCAGCGCGGTGGCTCGCAGGGCTCTGCCAGCGACTTTGCTCTGCCCTTGAAGGGGACTAATAAATACCTCAAGGCCACTGCGAGGATTAATTAGGTAGTATTTGCAAAGTGCTTTGAACATGAAAAACTTGAGCACTCTAGTGCCTCTGTTTACACATCTGTTAAGTAAGTATCATAATACCTACCCCAGAG